GTTTGCGCCTCAGTCATATTTAAAGGGTAATTCCAATAACCGTTTATTTAAAAAAAATTGAATACCGCAACTGTTGCGTTTCGTTAGACTTAAAAAGTACACGATTGTTTTGACAGATCTGAGATTTAAAAATGGCGCTACCGGAAATGCTTCAGTACTAGACTTGCGCAGTAGCGTTCCAACGCCTTTGTTATTGTTTACGTCTTTGAAATGGTCTATATACAGATATTAATATATATTTTATATAAATCATATGCAGTATAATACTGGGTGGTTTTCTGCATAGAACATAATACATCGATATGTCCTAACATTAATAAATGATATAATCCTGATTAGCGGTGACATTTTGTATTTATTTATTGCAGGTGTGGATGGTGTGGTCGAAAAAATCGAAAAACTCCCCATAGACTTGTTTGCAGAAACGGTAAGATGTGTCATTACATTCTGGTCATGTACAAAGGGAAGAAAAGCATTACACGTTTGTGCTAAGAAAAATGCAACACGTCACACTTACAGATCATTTTGACATATTATCATAGTTATTTACTGAATGTCCTATTTTTAAGTGTTTATGACTGTTCTGATACTCGTCTTTTCTTTTTCCAGCTTCAGTCAATCCTGGTTCATCTTCAGGATCAGAACAGAGCAGTAGATTTGATTGAAACCTGTGATGCAAGTTCACAAAATTAAATCCCTGTAAATATACTGTAAATTAAGCATGCATGTACCTGCTTTTTATGTCTTTGCAATGTTTTTATTTCCCTAACACAGAAATTTCAAAGAGCTGGGATAAACCTTGATCAGAAAACTGTTCAAGATATTATAAGACTCATGTCATACTATTTTAGGTACAGTATTATTTTTTTGAGGACAAAACGTCATTAAAGTAAATGTATGTGGATTAAAAATAGGGTGACCATATTTTAGTTTTCCAAAAAGAGGACAGTGGGTGCGGGTGGGGCGAAGCGGGGGGCTGGGGTGTGGTTGTTTGGTGATTAAAGTAATGCAGAAAGTGCCCTATGTAGCACAATCCCAAATATCAAAACTCAAAATATGTCATTTTCATACCTGAAATAGATATTTTACAGTCACTGTTATGCGTATTGATCATAAACACAGCTAAAAAGCATCCTACCAGTGGCCCTCCTTCACAAAACTTAACATCTAGCACAGTTTTATCATAGGTAGAATCAGGGCCGTAGCTGGGGTTTGCGGGGCCCCGGTGCAGGTTGTACCCATGGGCCCTGTTTTAAACAATGTTTAGTTTTTTCAAGTTTGTAGGTATTCAGGTACAGAAACCGAATAATCAAATGTAAAATAGCACTGCATAGTCTTCACTGTATAAATTAAATATAGATTAGTTCTTGTAAAAACTAAACATTTATTCAGTCAAGAGCAGTGAGTGATTTTCTTGGATTAACATTAAGGACACCGACACAGCCGTGGGCCCCTCGTCACCACCTTTCACCCCAGTAGTGACGGCTCTGGGTAGAATGCAAAATGTTTCAATACAAGCATTTCAGTCAAATGTAATTTTTGCAACATTTCAAACATTTAACCCAAGGGGGAAATCAATCCATGGCAACAGTTTAAAAGTAGCCCAATTCCATGGGGAAAAATGCGGACTTGACAACCCTGCATCCAACACGAGCTGCAGGAGTCAGATTTCACTGATCACGGGTTGAGAGGAGAGATTGCTGACAGACCATGCTGGAGGATTTGCTGCTCAACAGATCCCGAGCTCATTGACAAATATCTGATCTTCCTTTACAAAGAGCGCGTGTGATCGTGAAAGTGAACAGCAAGAGTTCATTCAACAGAGATTTAAATACTCCGCATATTGATGGCGGCTCCCTGATGCGTGAAAATCATATGCAATGTTAGAATGTTTGCGGGAGCGGGCGATAATGTTCAGAAATTCAGCGGGAGTGGGATTATGAAAACAGTCCCTTGCAGAGCTCTAATACAAAAACACACACGATGAATGACGACTGTAGAAAGCAAATGCCGAATCCCGGACATTTTGGGCGATTTAGAAATCCCGGCCGGACGCATTTTTTAGGTCCTAAAAGAGGACATGTCCGGGAAAAAGAGGACGTATGGTCACCCTATAAAAAGGCTTAATTAAACCCCCCCTTTGCATACACATCTCTGGAACGTGTCGATTTGTCTTGTTTGATATGTGTGTGTTGTGTTTCAATTTATGATAAATGTTTACTTAAACAGGTTAGCTGCAAAGAGCAATCTCAGTGCGGATGTATTGGTCAGTAAATTGACTGAAAGCAACAGTAATTGGTCCAAACCAACCCTACAGTTGGTGCACCAGCTTTGGACTGAGCATGCTTCTCTTCTACATGCACATCAGGAGGTCCTGACAATGGCTAGTATTGGACACGTGTGTCACATGATTCTTGTTTACAGTATAAACATCGGTCAACTACTGTTCTCTGTCAGGTTGTTGATATCAAAGCTTCTTCACTCTTAGCTTGTAGATATCCAGTGGAAGCTTGGAATGGCAGTGAGCTCAGATACCTGCCGATCCCTCAACTCCCCGTTCATCTCTGTTCTGATGAAAATCGCAGACACTTCAGGGGAGATGTCATATAAATCTTTTGAGATGACAGTTCAGCAGTTTCAGGTATGGAAGTATGCATTTTCCTAATTTAATTCAACTGTCTGAAGTGTCTGAACTGCTGCAATTAATCATTCTCTTTCTGTTATTTTGTCCCTCAGAACTTCTACAGGCAGTTCAAGGAAATGGCCTCTGTTTTAGAGACTGTTTAATCTTTTTCTGCATGTAATTTTTACAGCAGTGATTGTGAACCATTTTGTCTATGACCAAATATTGACTTTTAAGTACAGTATTTAACAGTTTAACAACGTAAATTTTGTTGAATTTTGCACCGACCTTTTATTTTTGTTCTACTGTTACAGTAGCTACAAGGTTAAAATTGTATTTTATCATAATAAATAATGGTATTCTTAGAAAATGTTAGATTTCCTGTTTTTCCCCCTCTGTGGGTCATCATAAATTTCCATTTATCATTTATCGATCTTCATTATTGTCTTTAGTGCCTTTAGGAACCATGAATTTTGTCCCTGTTACACCTCTAATTGTTTTTCCACTATCAAAGGACAAATAACACTTATGAGATGCTCAAGAACATGAATTTCTTTAGAGTGGAAAACACTCTTTTTCATTAATAAAATCATTCACTGAATTAATATTTTGTATTTTGTTTCTAGTCCTTTTCAATGTGTTGCACCTGATCACAATGCTTAACAGTTGGGATGATGTTGGATTTGGTTTTGTCCAAAATTCGATAAGATGACCTGATTTTTGTAGTGTCTGGCTTCTGCCTTTTTAAATTAAAAAAAAATCTGATTTTAGCAGCTCTGTTGACTTCACTGCAGGGCTGATCTGCTGTTTTTTGTTTGGGCTGAAAGATCCCATTTAAATATATTTGAATTTTCTTTTTGTAACACAGCAGCGAAAGAGAGAAAAAATCCAAGGGTGCTGAATACTTTCTGAATGCCTGAAACCCGTGCCTAGAAAGAAACTCTTACAGGCTGTATATGATGATGGGCTACAGTAGGTCACTGACGGGTTACATTTAAATGTATCTCATGCTCATCTATTTCTGGGAGTGGTGCTTCTTATTTAGCATCTTGTTTTAAGCTGGGCACTTGCTAAACACTCGAAGACAACAACAGTAACATGAGAGAACTCTTTAAAAAAGTGTTTTCATTTCTATTTAATTCAACAGCTTATTCTTTCATGAAAACATACATAAAAATTATGCAAACTATTATGCAGGTGCTCAGTTGGCCTGAATTTCTGAATCTGATATCTCATAATTTAATTTTTCAATCGTTATATTTAATAAAAGGTATTAACTTGAATGAACATACTTAATACTTAAAAATAATGGTTACAGAGGTTCAAATGACAGAAGATGTTTCTCCAGTATACAATATAGTATGTATACTGTGTGCAGTATGCTGTATCCCACAAAGCAACTTGCTTGACCTCCAGTTTGACTAATTAACTGGATTTAAATCCAGAGGTCACTGTTTGGCTGGCTGCTTCTGCTGGTAGATCTATATATGAGTAAAAGCAAGTTTCTCCACTAATGGTCATTACAAGTAGTTTTATTTTCAGGTTAAATAAAAATGACAATAAAAGCATTATTTAAAATAGCTCTTAGGAGCGTTAAATAATGTGTTAAAGGTTTTTCTTTGTCTGGTGTCAGGTTTTCTACAAAAGTAATTGATAACATGATATTTACAGCTTGAAAAGAATTGTCTCTTTAAGTGAGAGCTTGTGATAGCAACATCCAGGTTGTGTACTTCTAAATAGCATACTACTCTTACTATTTCTACAGTATACTACTAATTCTATAGAATATTATTGCAGAAATAGTAAGAGCAGTGGTAGCATGTTTTTTTAATTCAGCCACTGTCGTTGAATTAAAGGGTTCATAGTTTACATTATACTACATACTAGCCTATATGCAGTATGTTAGTATTTGATTCGAAATATGTCCACAGCATTTCATCAAAATCAATTATAGCTTTGAGAGACATCAGAGGGCGCCGTTGAGTATTGTATCTTTTTTTTTTTTTTTTAAATCGTCAAATGCATATTCTTTGATATATTAATAACAGTATTTCTTGGCCAAAATAATGATTTGATGGATGTTACTGTTTACTTGTTTGCTGTTTCATGAATTGCTTTGTGTTTCATACTTGTGTTCATGTTTAATGGCAATTTCCATATTCACAACCGGGGCATGTTGTCACAAAAAGTCAGCCCATGGGCAATAAACAGTGTATAATAGCTTTTTGTAGGATATAAAGAAGTTGACTTTCAAAAATATTATATTCACTGGATTAAAAAGTGTAAAAACTAGCTCTAACGCGTTAACTATTAATATACCCTAAGCATAAATAGAGTTGACTTGCTTTCCTCAGTCAGGACAGTGCCGTGTGTTTCCTGAAGACAGGGGAGCCAGAGCTCCACACATAACACACACACACGCTCAAGTGAACGCCTCTCCTATGGCTGCTGCGGCCACGCCTCCTGGAACAACAGCACTCTGTTTTCCAACGCCGTAAAATGATACAATAACGACTGAAAAGTGATGTGCAACGACTTTAAAGGACCCCAGCTGATCTGCAACTTCACACGTCTGTCCGCTGCGACGTCCACAATCCGAAGCGCTGGGACTCGAGAAATCTGCAGGAATCAAACGCGCTTCCTTCAAGCAGTTGTGTATTGATACACTCACGCGAATCGTCTAACTTTATATATGGATTATTCGAGCCCTCAGACCCTTTGAATGGATATTTTTTTATCTTTAAACAGTGATCTGACATTGGAATAAAAGCTAAAATCCTCGCAGAATCTTAAAAGCCATTATTATTGTACTTAAGCTCTCCGGGACACACGATCCTTGCGCACTTCTGACTAAAGCGTGAGTGATCCATGTACCATTAACGCGCCAGGAGATGTTTCCAGCTGCTTTCACACAATACTGACCCGTGCATGTATTTATTTAGGCATTTAGTGATATAAAGGCACTGAGTTGTTGCATAAAGCAACTAAAGTCTTTGTCCCGGAGAGATGGAGGGACAGGATGGCAAAGGGAATAATGACAGTAATCAAAAGGCAGACAAGAGGTTTGCTCTTTGGTACATGGGCTGGTCATCTCTGGACAGGCGGTCCACGCTGCCCATGCTGCCCTGGCTGGTGGCGGAGATCCGGAGGAAAAGTGAGAAGAACGAGTCCGGTCCCGCACAGGCCAGAGAAGTTCAGCTGTATCTCTCGCCCCCTCTGATCCGCTGCGTGCCCGCGAACAGCAGCAACCCGTCCGTGTTTATATTCGAGCACAAAGCACAGTTTATATCCAGGTTTATTCACAATAGCCATGACCTGTCTTATTTTGCCTACCTTATCAGAAGTCAACCCGATAACCCAGAGTCTGAGATGGCATGCCATGTGTTCAAAGCATGTGATCCAAACCAGGTATGTAAGGCCACGCACTCATTCAGCTGTTCAGTCTGTTGAATATATTGATCAAAAACACAGTTATAGTTTATGAATCAACCTTTTCTGGGGTTTGGATTAGAGTCTATCTATCTATCTATCTATCTATCTATCTATACCCTGCACCATGACAAAGTTAAGCGGCAAATTACTATCATTGTTTTGTTCAAGAATTTTTTTAGAGGGTCACATGTACATAGACAAAATAGCAGTATGATGCATGGCGTGTATATATATATATATATATATATATATATATATATATAAAC